ATTCAAGTAATAAAAGTGTGTATTTTAATGGTCAAATGAATGCCCTATAACGTTCTTTATTTAGAATTAGAAAGACACGTGAGTCAAGTAGAGAACCGATCAGATCGGACTTTGAATTTAGCCGGGTTTCAATGACACTCCTGTTCATGATGAATTGCATAGTACATGAGATGGTTATTTTGTAATACGTGGAAAATAATATCATCATACATGTCATGTGTGTATGCATATTTGAGGGGAGAGGGTCGCCAAACTAAATCATTTTCGTCACGTGGGCTTGACCCTAATAATGCTGAGATCCCCTGATATAAAGAAAATCGCTTCATCTGTAGTTTAAACACGATTCTTGCTAGTAAAGTAAGACATTACTACGTCAGGTCACCTTACAATGTGCCAATTTCACACTTCTGATAAATACACACACCCTTCCGATTTCTTGCAGCAGTCCTGAATTAGTTCAGAACTTTCTTCCACAGAACTCAGAAGATGTTAGATACGACAGTGTAGTCAGTTTGGATACAGATAAACTCAAAAGATGTTAGATACGACAGTATAGTCAGTTTGGATACAGATAAACTCAGAAGATGTTAGATACGACAGTATAGTCAGTTTGGATACAGATAAACTCAGAAGATGTTAGAGACGATGGTACAGTTAACTTGGATACAGATAAACTCAGAAGATGTTAGAGACGAACGGTACAGTCAGTCTGGATACAGATAAACTCAGAAGATGTTAGAGACGAACGGTACAGTTAACTTGGATACAGATAAACTCAGAAGATGTTAGAGACGAACGGTACAGTTAATTTGGATACAGATAAACTCAGAAGATGTTAGAGACGAACGGTACAGTTAATTTGGATACAGATAAACTCAGAAGATGTTAGAGACGAACGGTACAGTTAATTTGGATACAGATAAACTCAGAAGATGTTAGAGACGAACGGTACAGTTAATTTGGATACAGATAAACTCAGAAGATGTTAGAGACGAACGGTACAGTTAATTTGGATAAAACATTTTAAATCAGTACAGATAAAGTAGTACATTAGAAACATTTTCACACGAGTATATACGAATGTCACTTTTTACCATACTTGTTACGTTGGATCAAGCGATAATATTTTCAGTTAAAGTGACAACACTACTAACTTTAATAAATTAGCACCAATTACAAGCAGTGGAGTATAATAAGTTCCCTAAAGTAGTTGAACTTAACATCCAGTAACTCCGTTTTATTAGGGTGTGGAATATCGAATAAGTCTGTGACTGATTCTTCAAATATACCGAAAATAATATATTTTGGGTGAAAAGGTTAGAGGTCGACATCGCGACGACCAAGGAAACAGAGCATTTTCAAGCTATAGGGGGAGGTCAGAGATCAAGGTCAGCTACTATAAATGGGTTAGAGTAACTTTACTCGTTCGAACTTGCCGTTTGATGCATATGCTGGTTTATATTTTAAAACTGTGCAGAATACTGTCGACAGAGTTACAAAATGTCAAGACATCGTTATTTTTATACACGGCTGAACAATGAATTAAGTGTGTTTCTTTGGGCTGAATTTCGCCCACGGATACTCCAAGGCTATCTGCGCTAGCCGTCCCTAATTTTGAAGTGTTAGACTAGAGGGAAAGCAGCTAGTCAACGCCACCTACCACCACCTCTTGGGCCATTCTTTAAAAGCAAATAGTGGAATTGACCGTACATTATAACACCCCCACGGCTAAAGAGGCAAGTATGTTTAGTGACGAGATTTGAATCCTCGACCTGCAAACCGCAAGTTGAGCGTCCTAACTACTAGGTCATGCCATGTCATGGCTGATAAATTAAAAAAACTAATTTGTTATCTAGCATGTCGCAAACCATTGGACGTCACGTGACCGTAAAGATGTATAGCAGAGACGTCTGGTATTAAAAACTTTAATTAAAATAAAGTACAAGAACAACGTTTTCACCGTCTTAGGTCATCTTCAGGTTAACAAAGACAGTTTGAAACTGACCTTTACTGGGCACATGTCTTAGGGACGAGAGTGTGAATAGGTGCGAGATTGTAGGGGGCGCAGCAGTTAGATGTTAGGTGATTAATATAGGCATAAAGGTGTTCCTTTATGTTGTTTCAATTTTGATTTGAGTTCTTGTATAAGTAGGGATTCTTTGGTTTTTCTTTGTTTGTCTACTTAATATGTTGGTGTTTTCTATGCTTATGTTGTGTTTATTTGTTTTGCAGTGTTCAAAAAACGTGGGAAGGTGTTTTTCTGTGTTCATTACTCGTCATCATTAGTGACCGTAAAGCAAAACGGTGATGTAACAAATACTAAAATCAATCGAATAATATATTTCCAAAGATATTCAAGTAAAACTAGCATCATTAACTGCCATTGATCTTAGTGTTACACAATGAAAAATACTGAGGCTTCAAAGAAACTATATCGTATGAAGACGATGTTTTGATTTAATATCTAGACTAGAAATAAATCAATTTTAACCTTAACACAGAATAAATAAACTGATTTTACTCGTACGTGTTCTTATTTTATTTTATCATATGTCACACATCTTGCACACATTGTTTCAAGTGCTATACACTTTGAACACATTGTTTCTGGTATTCTACGTTTTGCACACATTGTTTCAAGTAGTGCACATTTTGCACACATTGTTTCTGGTACTATAAGTTTTGCACACATTGTTTCAAGTAGTGCACATTTTGCACACATTGTTTCTGGTACTATAAGTTTTGCACACATTGTTTCAAGTAGTGCACATTTTACACACATTGATTCTGGTACTATACATATTGTATACATTGTTTCTGGTACTATGCATATTGTATACATTGATTCTGGTACTATGTATACATTGTTTCTGGTACTATGTATACATTGTTTTTGGTACTATACATATTGTATACATTGTTTCTGGTACTATGTATACATTGTTTTTGGTACTATACATATTGTATACATTGTTTCTGGTACTATGTATACATTGTTTTTGGTACTATAGCCGTGATCTATGCTATATATTTGGTAGTTTTATACTGTGATCTGTGTTATATATATAGTACTTTTATGCCGTGATCTATGCTATATAATTGGTAATTTTATACTGTGATCTGTGTTATATATATATATATAGTAGTTTTATATTGTGATCTATGTTATATATTTGGTAGTTTTATACTGTGATCTGTGCTATAATTTAGTACTTTTATGCCGTAATCTATGCTATATAATTGGTAATTTTATACTGTGATCTGTGTTATATATATATATATATATAGTAGTTTTATATTGTGATCTATGTTATATATTTGGTAGTTTTATACTGTGATCTGTGTTATATATATAGTACTTTTATGCCGTGATCTATGCTATATAATTGGTAATTTTATACTGTGATCTGTGTTATATATATATATATATATGCCGTGATCTATGCTATATA